CAGCTCAAGTAGAAACTTAATTAACTGCTTGTCCTTTTTCATTAAATGTCTCGCACTTATCATCCCACATACTTGTCATCCCACAGAACTACATCATTTTGACATTAATACCGTCTCAAGAGATTGTAATTAAATTCTAGACGCGTCACGTGTCATACGTCAAAAACTCCGCTTTAATTAAACATAATGGCAAAATCTTCAAGAATTGATTAATAAACTAAGTAAATAACTAATTAATTTACTCGCATAGTATCACGTGTTTTGTTTACGATTGCCCCACCGGCTGTGATGTAATGCATCATTCATCAGTGCCTAGAATCGATTTATCGCAAGAGACAAAAAAACTTCTTAAATAATCGTACCGAAACAACGATTTCATGCCCAATATGAGTATGTCATATCAGAAGACTACATATTTATACTTGGCGAGAAACCAGAAGACGTAGGATTATCGACGTCGAATCGCACGGCGCCGAAAGTTTTTGTTCATTTTAACCGACTTCGAAAACGGAGGAGGTTCTCGCTTCAACTGTATTTTATTTTTACGTGTGTTACCTCAGAACTTTCGACTGAGTGAATCGACTTTGATGATTCTCTTTTTATTTGAAAGCTGCTGATCCCCATAATATAGTCCCATATTAATTTCATTGCTATTGGATCTTGGGCTCCGGAGATAAATAGTGAACTCCTGAAAATCAATTGTAAAATGAATACAGAGCGAGATACTTGAAGTCGGTTTTGTTTTTCGTTCATAAAAAAAATGTATTCTACAAAAAAATATAATTTCAAACATCATAAGATAATCGTGTACAGTAATGTCATACTTTAAAATTATTACAAAGGTTGAATTCCACATAGCACTTTTTTTTTTTTTTTTTTTTATGTGAGAAAATGGCAAAGCTGAGCTGGCGGTTCACCTGATGTTAAGAGATAACTGCCTGCCCATGGACATTTGCGACACCCGTAGGGTGGCAGATGCGTTGCCACCTCTTAATAATGAGGGCCCCGGCTACCTCACTCACCAGACGAAACGCAGAAGTGCAACACTTCTACTTTACGTCGGTCTTCTGTGAGGTCGTGGTACTAACCCGGACGGACCTGCCCATACGTGCAACAGCGAACACTGTTGCGTGGCCCTACCATCGTAAAACTTTTGTTATTGATAAGTAAACTGCCGCTTTTATTCCAAATATGAGTAGGTTTAATGTATTCAATTTAAATTATTTTTCTCAAATTAAGAGACAGGTCCTATCCGTACGTCGAAGTAGTATCATGGAAGTATCATTTTAGGAACAAGTCTTAAACATTCACAAAATCTCTTGAGAAATTGAGATTCATTTGGATTAGAAAACTGCAGAAACTTATAAAAGAAATTTAGTCATACCTCAATTATAGAACCTCACGCTCCTTTCATCATCACCATCAGCCGCAAGACGTCCACCGGTGAACATAGGCCTCCCCCTTAGTACGCCACAACGAACGACACTTTACCATTTGCATCCATCGGTTGCCCGCGACTCTTATGATGTGGTCCACTTAGAGGGAGGCCTTCCAACGCTACGCCTACCGTGCGGTACATTAGGTCTGCTAACCGATGGACGGTTAAGATTAAGAGATTAAGATAGAGCTACATATTTACGTCTGTTTACTGTGTTGGACCGATGATAGATGGTGTGGTGATAATAAATGATAGATGGTGAATCTAGTTATGATTTTAAATAAATAAAACGTCATTTTATTATAAACTAGCCTTTATATTTATTTTATATATTATAGAAGTATACATTTTATGATTACAATTTACTTATACCAGGTACAAGAGCTGTTATAGTTAGATAATGGCGCGACCTGTAAATAATTCAATGAATATACCAAGACTACGCAACAGCTTCTGCTATAGCACGAATAGCTTCTGCTATAGCACAAACTTGTCTGACGAAAGAAGACTGTCGTTTTTTTTTTTATGTGAAAAGTTGCCAAACGAGCAGACGGTTCACCTGATGGTAAGTGAATACCACCCATGGACATCTGCTACACCCCAGGGTTAGAGATGCGTTGACAACCTTTCGAAAATTGGGCTCCAGCTTCCTCACTCACCAGACGAAACGCGAAAGTATTTGTCATACTTCCACTTTGCGCTGGTCTTCTGTGAGGTTGTGGTACTTACCCCGACGGGCCTGAACATTCGTGCAACAGCCGAGGCTGCTGCGTGGCCCTACCACCGTGAAATGGAAGTAGTACATTTTCGTACATCGAGTTTCTTCATGTTAGTGACGTAATCGGGGCCAACATTTAAAAGGTCGGCAGCGCCTCTGCGCCTCTCGAGTGTTATAAATGGATGGCGTTAATTATTGACCAACAGATGATCCGTCTCAGAGAACAGTTATTGGTTTTCGCCTTTTAAGATGAAACCGTTTACTCATAAGCGTAAGATAAATTCGTGAATTGATATTCGAACACAAAACCAAAGCCATTTGAAGCTTAGAGTACATCTAAGCTTCAAATGAAAAGCTAAACTTCCAACAGCAGTTCTACGTAGGATTCTCAAGTACATGGGGTTCTTCCCTGGAACGACCTAGAAGTCCTTTTTGACCTTCTCGAAATCGTGGCCTCGTCTAGGTCTTGGCTGCAAAGTTGGAAAAAAGGGAAAAGAAGGAGCAAGAGCTCTAATTCTCGAAGATCATTGTTGTAAAAATGAACTGCCCGGATGAAATTTTGGTGGGGAATCTCTGTCTACTGTCAGTTTTCTACCGACCTCAAACACGTTCTCAATTCGACTGTATTTTTTTTATTGTTTCTCAGAACTTTCGACTGAGTAGACCGACTTTGATGATTGTTCTTTTATTTGAAATCTGGTGCTTCCCACACTATCATGCATCGTGTCTTTTGTAAGAATTTATTACTAATCGAATATTTACACCATTTTCTTCCTTAAATTAAGTTAGTCTTAGTTAATCTTAGTCGAATCCTTGTATCTAACATGATTATGTTTCATTACAGCAACACAGGAGCGAAGGTAGAATTATAAATGTCCCTGCGGGATTCCACCGATTTCAGCTTTACTCTATTATTCCTAGACTTTCATGTAGTTTAAACGCTCACCTGAGTCAAACATTCAGATCTCAAATTTTACGCAAAGATCAAATAATATTAACGTAAATTTAGCTCTTCGGAATAAGAAAAGGAATATGTACATTCGCAACACGCTTTAATTAAGTTTAAAACGTAATGAGTAAGTCCGTTAGATTGTACGAAATGGTTATGCTGACATAAACGAAGCCTATTTGGAATCCATATTACAAACAGTAAAAACCATGGAGTACTAGATGAAATTAAATAAATTCTTGAATAGGATAGACTATATTTTATTGCACACAAGGAAATACACAAAAGGAAAATACGGGAAACATAGTGTACATAATTAGAGGCGGAGTCATTGCTAAGCTAGCAACTTTTTCCTGGCAACCCAAGACAGAGAAAATGTTTCGGTGTTTACCAGTATACAGTTAAAGCCTATTCTTGTAAAATATCCCACTGCTTGTCAATGGTGTCTTTTTAAATAATAATACCTCACGACTCTGGTAAATTGGCAGGCATTATTGCATTGATTTATTTTCTGCCTTTTTTGTACACCGCGAGAAATATGCACTTAGAATCGCTATCAACAATTCCGTTGGCGCCGGTGTTGGTGAATCAGTCAAGCAGCCCAAGTTACGAACAAAAGCCTAGCAAAGTTTACTTTAACAGAGCGAAAAACATAGGATTCAATGACATCTCACCAATTTCATTAATTTTCAAAACAGTTCTTGTCAACTGGTGGTGGTTACAGGAATTTCTAATTAAAGAATTACATATAAAAGCGTCATATATATATAATAAAAGCCCATAAGGTGAGGGGAAAATGTGGTCGTAGCGGTTAGCCAAGATTGGGTTTATCGTCAACGATTCAGTTAATAAACGCGGCAAAGATTGTGCCTACAAATCACTACTGAGGCGAGAGAATTTAATCAGAGGTGGCACAAATTGCCCACTTGCGAGAAATTTACGGGCGCTAAAGCCCTATGAAACCGCCTGTCGCTAATTACGTATGATATTAAGTTAGGAAAATGAAGGAACATATAGCCAGATGAAATGTTAAATTTATTTAAAATGTAAAAAATTCAAGTACGACTTGTCGAAGTAATTTCTGGTTTCAACGTTTTTTAGTTTAGTATATTAACATCGTATACTGCCACGCAGCTAATTTTGCTAAAACTTGAGCAGGTTTGTTCGGAGAAATATCCCGGCCTCTCAGAAGACCATACAGCTGGTGTTTATATTATACTTTTGCCTCTTGGTTTGTGACGTAACTGAGACCCACATTCTTTAAGATTAGTAACGTATCCGCAACTTCAGAGCTTTATTACAAAATATAATAATGTAAACTTAAATGTCTCGATGTAAAATGTTAATGAAATTTTTCAGTCTATCAGAATATTTGACAAGCTTAATCGAGAATTAACTCCAAAAAGCATTTTTAGTCTATTAAGGACGCGCAATCGCTTATAATCCAGCGTGCGTCTTTATCCTTTGTCATAAAAACAGACTAAAAAATTTAGATACAATCGTCTCCTAAAATGTCCTTTAATATTTTTTTTGCATTTAAATTACTAATGTAAAACTGAAAACCTAACGATTGCTGTCAAATATTCCAAGTTTTGAGGGTTTAACCACGAAACAACTCGTAAAAAAACTTATCATTCGTTAGTCACTTGGAATTTGTATAATACATTTGTACAATTTTTATCTATTGAGATTCGTTTAACTGCCAGTGATCGTATGTGTGCCTTATGGCATTTAAATGTCTGATTTTATATTTTAACTCTTGCCATCCTTGAATTTCTATACGTCTTCAATGAATTTTTAATATATTTAATAATGAATTAAAGTGTATATTTTTGTTCTCGCGATTAATTTATCATATACAACGATATCATAAAGGCAACGCCATCTGTCGACAGGCGAGGTCAAAGTTACCAAAGAAAAGGCGACGAGTGCTGCCTGTGGAGCAACCACGCAGGAAACGTGATGCTAGCGCCTCCAACCGGCGGGTGAACGCGGTCAAGCATCCAGTGGTTCTCAAAGATTTGTCACCGGCCACCAACAAATTTGGTGAGCTGCTAATTGATTTTGTTTTCCCAACACAGATGGCGTTAAATTTATTTCTTTTTATTTTATTTACAATTATTATACTGCGTGTAATGTAAACTTGAAATCTATTGCATGTCAGTTGAAATTTAGGCCAATAATGATTTACAATAATTATGACTCATAAACATTGACTTAATCTGTTTCAGTGCCATTTATTACAGTTATTTAACAAATAATATCTACCCTAAATTTCCAAAATATCGAATAACCGTAAAGTAGAGCGTATGGCAGTTTTATTTTAATTTCAATCGATATTTCATTGTTTTTACTTGTTTCGCGACTGCGGTAAAGCTAAATAAAGAATGTTAAGTCTTTCTCCAGTATGTATGCATGTATCCAATACACAGCTGAACCGATTTTAATATATAAACTATTGTTTCATATTTCTGAAACAATTATTAATATAGCTACCGTGGAAGCAATAACGTATTCCATATCTTGGTTCTGTCACATTCTTTGCATCAGTTCGTATTCCATGTTACATTTATTTACTTTTTGTATTGCATGTTAAATTCTGGCAGGGCAATCTGGGAAAGTAGCACGGCTTCCAGACCACTTGCCCACTTCTTAAATAAAAAAATCGAATCCGCAGGTGTAAACGGGATGAACATGATAGGTATTGCACTCCAAGGTCCACCAAATCTTCTCAGACCTCCAACAGCAGCTCAACCACTACAAGCACGAGCTCCTATAGGTAACCATCTCATTAACATCAAATTGTAATTTGGTTATAAATCTAATTCTAAACATTTTGTAATCAATAACAAAACGATGCAACAAATGCTTCTATTCTTATTTACCTATTTTAATTTCCAATAGTTTTATATAACATTCAATTTATTTCACGGAGTGGAAACATAACTGACTCAATGATGATCCGTATTCCAACCAAGCCTAAAAGTATCCAATCCCACTATTATTTATTTTCTTATAAAACTTCAGCTAAATCCGTACTTGAATTTTCAGTTGAAAGCCCCATCATCAACACGCAGTGCGGTGCTATATCACTAGCATCTCTCCAACCACCGCTGATGACCGCTCCGCCCCTACAACCGAGACCTGCAACCACCGGATCCCTTGACCTGATGCTACCCTTACAGCCCAAACTCTTGCCCGGCTACAACCTGCAATCTTCATTTCTCTCCAGCACCTTGTCGACAGTAAGGCCACCGGATTTGCCAGATAAGAATACGAAGAAGGACGTAGAAACATTTAAACCGAGCGTAGATGTTATTATAGAAAAGAGAGAATCCACGTCAGAAAACTCTACCAAGGACAGCAACGAAGAAATTTCCGAAGATAATAATTGTGAAAACGTAGATAGGCAATCAATAATTGAATGTGTAAATAATTTACAAGAAAATTCCAATTGTAATGTAGATGAACAAGATGTTAAAAATGAAAACGTCGTATCTAAAGGTGAAATAAATTCAAATATAAATGTAATGGATTCGAAAATTGACGATAGTTTAACAAGTAGTTCAAACATTAGCAGTCCAAACAATAATTCAAATTAAGTAAATTGTACAAGGTTTTTTTTTATTTGTAGGTATTGTTGATATTATACTACATTAATTTAGTTGTGAAACCCCGAAACTAGATTTAAAAGGTGTGTCCCATAACTATGATATGAAAAATGGAGCAAAATCGCTTTCTCAAAGAAGACATTATATTTCCTAATTACTAGTAAAAATAATAGAAGAATATCAATATTTTTGTTACTTAAATCAGATATCTTAAAATCTAAAAATAATTACTTTAATTTATGGATTAAAAATTATAGAGATACAAAACGTGCCACTGAGAATAATTGTTATGTTCACTTAAATACGTCTCGACCAACATGTAGCGTAGCCGATAGATATTGTAAAGTAATAGCTGAGATTTTTGTATATTTTGTAAACGAAAGACGAGACAGTGATCAAATTGTAAATTTCGAAAGTAGTCATAATCTATCTTGACCTCTTGAGGGCCGTTTTAAACATGTTTAAATCTTTAATGTTATGTAAATAACGGCTCGTGTCTGATCAAAATATAATCAATGTCCGTTGGATGTGTGTTCTATCAATCAAAATATGTGAGCATTTTGATTGATAGAAATGTTTCACCTAACAGACATTTATAAAGGCGAGGAATTTTTCCTAAACGAAGTTAAATGATGTTAAACGTAAGAAGGTTTTGGTGCCAAAAGTTACAAAGTTATAAATGAGAAAAGAAAAGAAAAGTCTCTTAAAATTTCAATACTATTGACCCTAGGCTCATAAAAGAAACGGAAGTGCCAAAGTCTTACAGTTATGTTCATTCTAAACCAAAGTTCGATATTAGGTAAGATAGAGAAACTGTGGCTGTTTTAGTGATAACTTACCGTTAGATTAATAGAGATTTTTTTAAAGATTTATTTATTTTAGGCGATAAGGAAATGAAAAATAATATTATTTATTTCTTTCTCAAACGAATGTTTTCTATTTTTCCCTACCATTTATCATTGTAATTATAGCTGGTAAAGTAAACACACTAAAAATACTATATAGTAAAATTTGAATAATATTCTTTGTTTCTGTAAAGGTTAGTTCAAATTCTAGGATTATTTAATTATTCAAATATATTGTACTAATATTCAGTTTATCCATAATTCATTTTTAGGGTTCCGTAACCAAAGGGTCTGTCTGTCACCAGGTTGTATCTCGTGAACCGTGATAGTTAGACAGTTGAAATTTTCACAGATGTTGCATTTCTGTAGCCGCTATAAAAATATGTACAAAAATTACTAAAAAATAGAATAAAATATTTAAATGGGGCTTCCATACAACAGACATGTTTTTTGCCGTTTCCGTTATAGGTGAACCTTTTGTGCGCGATTCCGACTAATACTTGGCCGGTTTTATGTAAAATAAGTAAAGTAAAAGCCTATACATGTCCCACTGCTGGGCAAAGGCCTCCTCTATACAGAGGGTATCAGGGCATAGTCCACCACGCGGCCCCACTGCGGATTGGCGGACTTCACATATCTTCGAAACATATATTTTTTTGTTTTTATTTCTAAAATATGCAGGTTTCCTCACGATGTTTTCCTTCACCGCGGAGCACGTGATAAGTCAGCACTTAAAGTTAAAAACTTCATTGGTGCCGGCATCGGGGATCGAACTCAGTTTGCTCGAGTATATTGAATTAAAGGCGAGCGCCCGGACACTGAGCTATCACGGCTCTCGGTTTTATGTTAAGTCATCAAATTAAGGTGGGCGATACTTAATTTCGTACTTATTTAAATTAAGTGATCTGATAATTTTCATTCATCACATCGTTTCGATGCTTGATTTTTTTTTCTGTAATTTTAAGTAACAAGAACAAAAGCAGATTGGACTGACTAGGAACAATTTTTGTAAGTGAACGTGGCACTACAAAGGCAGGGTTTTCATCAGGGTTGTCAAAGCAACGTTGTGTTGATGTTTTTGTAAACGTGTTATTCATTAGTAATAACCCCAATCAATAAGGCTCTCTTTGTATAATTGAATAGTTTAATGGAGAGACTACCTAATACTCCGCTTACGTGGCGATATATTTGATAAGGGCTTAGAATGTAAAGAGAACAGCATTAAAGAAATGTCGTCAAGAAGAAAACAAGTGTGAAATATGTTTGAACTAACCTTTAATTTTATCGTGCCAAATATTTTGTTCGTCAATAAAACGATAAGAATTTTGTCTTCGTATTATTTTGTCACTGATCTATTACCAAAAATTACTTGAATTATTTATAAAGAATGGTACATTGTTTATGACTTAATGAATCAACGAATGAAACCCACAATAATGTTGAATAAAGATTATAAATTGATAAATTACGTATGTCATCATCAACATCATCCTCTCAGCCTGTTTGGGTCCACTGCTGAACATAGGCCTCCCCCATATACTGCCATGAAGTACGATCCTGAGCCACCTGCATCCATCGACTTCCCGCACATTTGCACAGGTCGTCACTCCATCTAGTGGGGGGTCGTCCTACACTGCGATGGCCAGTACGAGGCTGCCACTCGAGAACCTTTCTTCCCCAACGGTTATCGGTTCTACGAGCTATATGGCCGGCCCACAATTACGTATGTTTTTTAAATAAACTTACATTACATTTTTAACATTGCAGTTTTAAAGAAGATCATTTCTCCATTACACGCTTTTGTCCGATAAATGATCTTAAACTTTGATTTCTTTTCTTTAAAAATCCTTAAGTAAGATTATAAATATAATTAAATAAAGGTAAGAACAGTGACAGACTTGGTAACGAGGACATCCGCAGTAGAACCTAGGTAACTGACATAGCTCAGAGGATTAGCAAGCTGAAGTGGCGATGGGCCGGCCATAGCTTGTAGAACCGATAACCGATGGGGAAGAAAGGTTTTCGAGTAGCAGCCACGTACTGGCCATCGCAGTGTAATACGACCCCCACTAGATGGAGTGACGAAAAGTGCAATTGTGCGAGAGGTCGATGGATGCAGTTGGCTCGCGATCGTGCTTCGTGGCATTCTGTGGGGGAAGCCTCAATAGTTGGTAGGGCCACGCATGGACGAATGGGCAGGCTCGTCCGGGTAAGTACCACGACCTCACAAGACCAGCGTCAAGGGGAAGTATTATCTGGTGAGTGAGGTGGCCGGAGCCCAATTTCCAAAAGGTTGTCAACGCATCTGGAACCCTCGGGTGTAGCAGATGTCCTTGGACGGCGGTATTCACTTAACATCAGGTGAACCCTCAGCTCGCTTGGCAGCTTCTCACATTAAAAATTAAGGCCTATGTTCTGCAGTGGACTCAAACAGGCTGAAATGATAATGATAATGATGATTAAGAACAGTTAGAGGCTTCCTATTTAATACGAATACACGTTTTGTTGTAGCAAAAGCACAAAACAGAATACATTTTCCAATATATTGATACAGGGTTACTTGAAAGGCAGATGTGTCAAAATAATTTTTTATTCTAAAGAAATTTTAATTTACTCTGATAATAGAACAAACTTACGCTTTTGAAATTATTTTGTTATTTTATACTTCCTTCTTATTGCATTTAATTTTTTATTTAAAACTGCAAAGACACAAATATGGTTTTTGAAATGAATATATTTGAAAATTAGGGAGTTTTCGCCGTCGTTATTGTAATTTCAATTTAATTTTTAGTGCTAATGTCTGTCTCAGCAACGACTCTCCTGTCAAATAAGCCAGCCCTGATTATTTAACAGAAATAAAATATTTTTTATAATAAAATTAAATGTCACGTACCTAGTGTCAAATTTTATATTAATGTAGTTCGAAGTTATTAGTAACTGCAAGTTTGCTCCTGACATTATTAATTAGGATAATTGTTTTATGTTCATTAATTATGTCAGACGTATATTTACGCGTGAAGTTTTTTTAACTGATAAATAATTATTTTTGTTGCTGATCATACAAAAACCAGCCGCTATAAAAATAAATGAAATAAATAAATTTTAGACATAGATTTAAGTTCCTTTAAAAATGTAACCATGGTTAAGTTATGGCATGGCTCCATAAAAAACTAGTCGTCGTATTTTATATACTGGTTGTAGATTTTGGGTTGACCGATGCTAAAATGTCACTAACAGGATTAAAATTCATTTTTAGCAGTATATTCGTTTTTGTTTTGGGAAGTTTTTCGAGCCCACGACCCGCAGCGACGAAAGACTTTGTCCTTTTTTCTACAAATTCCAATGTTTCATCATAACTGCAGAAATTGGCAATATGAATACCAGTAGCAGTACCCGAGTTTTAGAAGTAACGTGGCGTCATAGAACACTGGCGTGAAATAGAAGTGTTTTGCCTCTCGTCTGGTTCCATGTTATTAAGTTTATTCATAGCCGTCACTGGTCTCTTAGGAAAGCTAAACAGCTGCTGGTTTGCTGTTTTCTCATAGAAAACATCAGATCGGATGTTCGACATCGATATCCATCGATATCCGTCCTCACACAATTCTTACTAATATTATTAAGGCGAAAGTTTGTATGTATGGATGGATGTTTGTTACTTTTTCACGCAAATGCTACTGAATGAATTTTAATGAAACTTTACAATAATATAGCTTATACATCAGAATAACACATAGGCTATAATTTATATACATATTTTATTTATATCTGTCTTAATGTTTTTAATTTATATCTGCCTTCAGCCTTTTCTTCGCAGACGTAGTCGCGGGCAGCAGCTAGTATGTAATAGTTGAGTTTAATCGAACCACCCCTACGCAATTAGAGCACCATGCGAGGCCTTCAAAGAGTTGATTAAATTTCAAGCGCAGTTCCGGTTTCACAATCGATGGCTTGAGTGCAAATATTGATAAACTAGCGGCATATGTACGTATCCTTAATTAAAATTTCAAGTACAGAAGTGAAGTATTAAAGTGGTCGATTCCACTACATCACACAAATTAATCTCTAACTGTAATATAAATGTAATTAAAAATAAACTATGTTAACCAAATCATACGAATGTCGTTTAGATTTTCATAGTTATGA